ACTAAACTAACATATTAACCATTATTATAATAAATTAAATCAAACTACACTAACACAAAATAAAAACAATAATAAACTAACATATATCTAAGTCACTAACATGTCAAGTATAAACTAATAAACTAAGAATTTTAGAAATTATAATGTTACTAACCGATAGATCTGCACTTTTTATTGAGATTCAATGCAAGGAAATGTACAAATCCTACCAATAATAAAAAAAAAACCTTATTTATGGTGTAAAATGTCAATTTTAATTAAAAAAAAAAAGATGAACACATACTGGCGGTTGAACGGCGAGAGGATGAAGGTGGTGGTGGTTCTGGTCGCACCAAGGACGGAGTTTGGAGGAACCTGTATAATACGGTGGTGGTTAAGGTTTATAACAAAAAAAAAAACAGAAATTTAAAAAAAATTACGTGCCGGCGGCAGCTACTGAACGCCGGTTGTTCTTAACGGCACAGAGGAACGATGGCTGCTATGAGGGGCCGGTGGTGGCTGTTCGCAAATAGTCGGTGGTGGCTACGGGCGCCGGTTTACCGGATTGTTTAAATAAAAAAAAACCAAACTAACCTCACCGGCGGCGGAGAACTACAGGAGGAAGTAATACGGTGACCTTTGATGGCGGGGGAAGACAGTCGTGCGACTGTCTGACTCCGGCGGCGGCAGATCTGAGAAGTTCAATTAAAACCCCTTCCTCTTTCTCTCTCTTTCTCCCTTTCTCTCTTTCTCTCTCTTCCCTTCTTTGTCTCTTTCTTTCGTGAAATAGCTTAGCCAATTTCCCTCTTTTGACTTAAATAATTTTCCTACGGAAAATTTCGTCGAAAAGGTAATTTTGCGACCGAATTAAATTCCGTCGGAAAAATTGGGACAAAACTTCCTTTGGAAAGTGATTTTTGCGACGGATTTTAACGACATAAAAGATTCTGTCGTAAACTTTAAATTTAACGACGGAAAATACTGGCGTTGGAATAAGTCCGTCGGAGATAAGCCTTTTACTAGTACTGCAAAAATGAATAGCCTAACCCAAAAACAAATTAAATAAGGTCCAATTTACTAAACCCGATCATAATTAGGCTTAAGCCCTGGTTAAAACCTAATTACGACAGATTTAGAGGCGCCTAAGTTAAAAATCAATGATGCCGCAGAGAAATCCGCGCGCATCTCAAAGAGTCACGCTAGCCTAGCGCGCGCAACGTCATATGTTGCACGCGACACCTAGCGAAAATGCTAGTGATGTGCTTGCGGAAAATTTCAGAATTTCATAAAAATATAAAATTGAATCTTTGCACAATACTGCGCGTAAGATCATCAATTGTCCTTCCCATAGTAGCGCATCTTAATCACTTGCGTTGGGCTATCGCGCGCAACCCATTAAGATGTGAGTGATTAAGATGCGCGCGACACCTGCTGCGGCAGAATGCTCAAAACCCTAAAACGCTCCCATTCTTTTTAAATAGAGGCTTAATGTGAGGCTAAAATAGATAGAAATTAACCTAAAACTCTGGCAGAAAATTTGTGAACTTGTGTGCTACTAAAACCTCTTGCCCTAAAAACTAACCCCTTTAATACTAGTTACTACGATGGAGGTTCCTGAATAATATAGAGTCCATAAGTGTTCAAACGAATATCTAGCTAAGAAAAGTGGTAAATTCCCGAGCACCTAGATCAATCACCATTATTTTCTTGTTTAAAATAACTTTAATTAATTAAGTAGTATTGTTTGATCACTTTAAACGAACCTTTAAATTAATCAATTCCTAATAGTATCTTGCGTTAAATAAATAATAGAATTGAATAATTAATTGTTGATTGATCACTTAAACCAAGGCGAATCTTGTTTATTTTGGTTCTTTTCACGAATACTGATACAATAAGAATAACGACTTTTGCAATGTAATTCCTACATGATTGACGCGTCTAAATAAAATCAACTAACTTAGTTTATAGGTATCACATTGCATGTTTTTTTTTATGATGAAATTATGAAAAAGGAAGAGCTAGTACAGTCCGTACTAGAGATAGGATAGTGATTCCCCTCAAAAGGGAAAGCTATCTTGGTACCCTCTCTCCGTCCCGAACTCATTTCTGGTTAATGTAGACCAATTTGGGCAAGGTTAAACTTACGATTCGTGCTAAATATCCCTTAAACTCTACTTGGGAGAAAGACATGCACAAGGTTTATGAGTTTTCCTAAAACTCATTGGCGACTTCTACTTGTTTCTTATAAAAAAGCAGGATGAAAGGATCAATTCTAATTCAAGGTCCCCCAGACAGTCAAGAATTCAAATCCTAATACACCCTAACAGGTGTAAAGTCCTAGGCTTTTAAAGGGTCATGGGCATTTAAGGAGAAAGATCCCCTATGATGGGAACACCCTCCTTACACTTACCAGTTAAGTAACTTGTTGTAGGGTGTAAACATCCTACGTGGAATCTCTAACAGTTCTTTTTTTTTAAACCAAGTTAAAAGGTTTGACTTTTCTTCTCTCTCTCCGAAACAAAGACCCCTTTCTACTTTCTTCCTCCCTTTCTCCATTGTTACTCCCTTTTCTCTGTCAACATCAATGAACCGAACTATTTTTGCGCAATGTCAAGTTGATCTTCTTATTTAATGGGTCGTGGATTGTTTTCTTCACTATTCAAGTGCAGGTGTGGGGTTGTTGCAGTGGTTCGAATGGCAAAAATAGGTGATAATGCAGGGATGAAGTTTTTCGGTTGCCCTAAATGGCCAGTGAGTTAAATTCAGCAATCACTTAAAATTGTTGTATTGAATTATGTGAATTAGGGTTTTTAATTAAATTAAATTTGGGTTTTATATGTGCAGGTGGGTGATTGTGGGATTTTCCAGTGGGTTAATGTAAGCAATGGAGTGGATGCTGCTTTGCGTTTTAAGCTCTTTGAAAAAAAGACTTCTCTTGCTGTGAAGGAAATGGAGGTTGATTTCATGAAAGACAGAATTGAAGGCTATGGAGAAGAAAATTAGACATGAAGACAGAGGATTTGAATGATAGAAAAATGAAGCTCTCTGATCGACATTAGACATGAAGACAGAGGTTAATTGGTCGTTTGGACTACTAAGCCTAACCAAATTAAAAAATTTATAATACCTAAACTTACACTAAATTATTTAGTGGCAAGTATAAGGTCGAACCACGAAGACCAAGTGTATCAATCTATGCTAATTAGACTACTAGGATGATCGAGATAAGGAGAGATGAACATCTAAAACACTACTTAAAGTAAACAACTAAAACTAGGGAAAGTGGAATTCATTTCATTAATGCATTTCACAAGCAACATTGCAATTAGATGAAAATGACCTCAATTAGGAACAATCGACACACTCAACTCACTCTCGCGTAATTAAGCATGCTAATTATCCTACTAAACTAATTCACTCTCGTGCAACTAGCCTAGCATGGGTATAAAAGAATTAAGACTCTCAAATAACTCACTTTCGCATAATTGATTGAAAGCACAATTAAGAACATATAATCAATTATCTAGATTGATTCTAATCCATATAAGAATCATCTATACACAATAATGAAGAATCAATTTCATACAAATCATAATAAATCATTCAATTCATCAACATAATCTTCATCCAATTCCATAAAATAAAATCTAGGCTAACATGATAAAGAAGAACATGGAAAGCAAGGTAAAACTAGAATTAAAGCTAAAATTAAACTATTACACTAATTAATAACTCTAATCAATAAACAAATAAACAAAAACAAGAAATAAAGGAAAAAAATAAAGATGAGAGAAAGTTAGAAATGCTTATTTGAATAGATGAGAAGAGATTTCACATAGTTGCTTCTTCAATCTCTCAAAAACTCCTTGAAAAAAACAAGCTTCTCTCTCTAAAACTACTCCTAAACTAGAGAGAGAGACTCCTAATCTAATCCTAAGAAAGAGAAAATAAAATTGGCTAAACTAATCTTATCTAGGGAGAATAATTGTTAAGAGAGAGTCTTAACCCTAAAATGGCGTATTTATTTTAAATACTGTACGGGGAGGTACTGAAAATAGGCCGATAATGTGAGAAAGGCCGGTATCTTAAGCGGGTCCGGTTTCTCAACAACCCTCAAACATACCGACATTTATGCAAAAGGCTGACATAATCGGCTTGTCAGCGATCGGCACGTGTCATCAGCAACTTGCCACTTGGCGCAAGATAGTTTGCATGCCATGTAGCCACATGTCACTTAATTAAGCTATAAATAATCAGGTTTTTACCTCATAATTAAAGTAGCATTTATTCTCTCTCTCTCTCTCTTCTCTCTCTCTCTCTCTTCTTTCTCTTTCTCATTTCTCTCTCTCTTCTTCTTATCTTCTTCTAACACTTTATGAACTTTGTCATCGGAGTGGTTATCCCCGGATCCACCCCGGGGTTAGCTAATCTTTGTTCTTTGTTTAGGTTCTCGTCTGGCCGATAGGAGCATAACAGGTTGCATACTCGGGCTTGGGATCTTGGAATCCGGGTTGTCGGATCTTGCAGGAACAATTGGCGCTAGAAGAAGGGTAAGCTAAGTAATTGTTTCTATCGCCTAAGAACCTCACTTTCTCAAAAAAAAAAAATAAAAAAAAATGGATGAAAATCAGAACACACCGATAGCTAGTAAGGTTGTTAACCAGAGGATAACAGTGAGGACTGGGGTGCCGGACCCAGAAATTGTGATTGAAGATGAAACCCATACTTTAGAAGGTAATCAGTTTCATATGCCGATAACCCCGGAAAGGCAGGTTGGGATGGACCCAGACCCCAAGGCTGAGTTTACACTAAAAGATCTGGAAATGGCAACAAGGGTAATGAGTGCGATGAGTAAGAAAAGGAAGGAAGTAGGGGCAACTCAAGATGGAGGAGAGATGTCGATTGCAAATCTTGGCAATCAGTTTAATCAAGCCGGAAGTTCACATAGGCTCCGGCATGAAGGATTGCGATAAGATCGCAAGCAACTCAGTGGGAGTCTGAGGTACAATCCTCAGAACATGCCGCAAGTACAAGAACATCGACAGAGTGTGGTGCGAATAGTAGTCCAGTTGAGGGCGTCACCATTTGCACAGATCATCCTGGATCAGGCTATGGAGAAAATCAAAATGACGACATGTTGGTACGATAGAAGGGGAGATCCGAGTAGGTACATAACTTCATACGAGGGGCATATTATCCTGTACATCAACTCGGATGATGTGTGATTTAAAGTGTTCCCGACCACTCTGACTAGGGCTGCAGCGGATTGGTTCAACCATCTTGGGAATGGAACGATTGACAGCTTTCAGAAGTTTACTGAGATGTTTGTAGGGCGGTATATTATTAAAAGTGTGCGACAAAGAACTTTAGGGGAATTGATGGCGATTGAGCAGAAAGAAGATGAGTCTCTAAGGGACTACATTAGAAGGTTTAATGTCGAGGCCAACACAATCCCAAAGTTGCTGCAAGAAATAGCGGTTATGGCGTTGGTGAATGGCCTTAACGACTTAGAGTTTAAGAGGTACTTGACCAGGAAGAATCTGTCGACACTGGCAGTGGCTTTTAACAAAGCTCATGAATACATAAAGAGTGAAGAATTGATGAAAACAAGCAGCCAAGTTGGTTCAGCCAATAGAATCATCCTATATTGGAGGGAGGATCTTCAGGAGGAGGAAGGCCGAAGAACCCGACCACAATAAGGGGAGGAAGTTGGCAAGAGGTCAGAAGCACCAAGGCTCAAATGCGGTACAGTTTGTACACACAGCTGAATGCACCAAGGGATGTAATATATTCAGTAAACCAGAACCGAAAAGCATGGGTAAGGCCCATACCGATGAAGGCAAAAGGAAGGTATGCAAAAAAATATTGTATGTTTCATCGAGATGTGGAGCACTATACTGAAGACTATAAACAGTTAAAGGATAAAATTGAAGAACCGATAAGAAGGGTCATTTGGCTTAGTATCGGCTGCATGCAGAGGAAATAAACCACCGCATTGGCAGCCGGAGCGCCAACAAATTGAAGGTAGGCCAGAGAGGTAAAGATAGGTAATCGGTAGGAGGATGGTGGGCAGCCACCCCTGTCTATTGGAAAAAGAGTCGATGTGATAACTTGTGGTCAGTTCACTGAGATACGATAAGTGGGGCACGGAACACCACCTATCAGAACATCGACACATCATTAACGCCCTAAATGTTAATGATCACCCATGGCCGTCTGAGATACCGGATGTACTATTTACAAAGGAAGACGCAAGGGGAATAGTTTTCCCGCATGATGAACCCCTGGTACTAATAGCAACAATCAATTGGACTGATGTAAAAAGAGTCTTGGTGGATAGGGGAAGCTCAATTAATGTCTTGTTTATGCAGGCGTTTAATAAATTGATAATAGGAAGACAATACCTAACGCCGGTATCTTATCCTGTAATTGGCTTTAACGATTCGACAGTGAGACTAGAAGGGAAGTATAGTTCTCCAGTTAGGTTTTGAGATGGAGCAATTGCAAGGGATGCAATGGCTAAATTTCTGGTAGTGGATGGGCCATCGGCGTACAATGGGATTATTAGAAGACAGCAAAATTGCGACGGAAAATATTCGTCCAAATCCAAAATCCGTCAGAAAGAAGGTTTCCGACGGAATTCCGTCGGAACCGGTCGTCGAAAAACGCTTTGTAGGAAATTGGGCATTTTACGACAGAAATTCCGTCGTAAACCTTCTTTTTGACGGAATTTACGACGGATATAACTTCGTCGGACTTGAAATTGACCTTAATTGGCGGTCCGTCGCAATTTTCCGACGGAAATTTGTATTTTGCGAGGAAATTTTCCGTCGGAATTAATATTTTTGCGACAGAAAGTTCCATCGGAATATGTATTTTGCGACAAAATATTCCGTCGAAATGTTTAGTTTTGTGAGGAACTATTCCGTCGGAATTTTTATTTGGTGAGGAAATATTCCGTCGCAATTTTTTTTTTGCGATGAAATATTCCGTCGGAAAGACCTTCCAGTCCGCAAGAAATTTCTATAAAAAAATGCATTTCCAAACCTGAATTTTGTTTATAATAAATCCACAAAAAAATGCATTTCAGACCTTGAAATTGTTGTTTTAAAAAAATTAATTACCGACCTACGAAATTATATTTATTTACATATATATATAATAATTATGTCCTAGTACAAAAGATAGTCCATATTTTGGTATCTATACCAAACAAAAGCTTTGTTAGAGTGAATCTATGCTGGACTAAAGCTAAGCTACGCAATCGCCTGGAAACCATGGCCTGCTCCACCACTACCCGGGTCGTCCCTTGGGTCTCGATGCTGAGGATGAATGGTGGAACATGAGTCGTTGTTGGTGAAACGACTCATCATCGCATCCATACTCTCCTTGTATCTCCTCTCCATTTCAGCCATTCGGGAGTCAATTCGCCTTTGCATCTCGCCATTGCCTATGTGTCAAACTTAGGAGAGGTTGGAAAAGGTGCACGACGGACAAGTGATGGAAAAATCGTGCTACGTCACGGCTTTAAAAAATCCAGTGCAAAAGGGGTCGATACCAAACAATCCAAAGATAGAAAGAGAATCAACGGTGAAGGACTTACCTACGGAGAATTTTTATGCAAGGAAAGAATCCGCGCCAAGGCCGTTACAAGAGAGACAGTGCACGTCGAACTCCAACCAGGCAATCCAAGTCGGACAGTGAAGGTTGGGGCCGACATGGATGTCGACATGAGATGTCATCTAATCAGCCTGCTGCGAGAAAATGTGGGTGTGTTTGAATTTTCAGCAAATGAGATGCCTGGGATACACCCAGAGGTAATAGAGCACAAGCTAAATGTGGATCGGAAGTTCAGGCCGATAAGGCAAAAGAAGCGTAACTTCTCGACAGAGAAAATTGAGGCAATACAAGCAGAAGTAAATAAGCTCTTAATGGTAGGATTCATATAAATGTGCACTTACCCAGAGTGGCTAGCTAACGTGGATGGTGAGAAAGCCGACTGGAAAGTGGCAGATGTGTATGGATTTTACAAATCTAAATAAAGTTTGCCCGAAAGATTGCTATCCATTACCCCGGATAGACAAATTGGTGGATTCTACCTCTAGACATGAGATGCTAAGTTTTCTGGATGCATTCTCGGGATATCATCAAAGTCATCCTTCATGAGTCAGACAGACCCAAGACGGCATTTATAACGGGCGCCGGGGTATTTTGCTACAAGCAATGTCGTTCGGGTTAAAGAATACTGGACCAACATATCAAAGATTGGTTAATCAGATCTTTAAAAGGCATAAAGGGCGTAATGTGGAGGTATATGTAGACGATACAATTGTGAAGAGTAAGGTGAAAAAGGATCACATAGCTAATTTGAGAGAA